GATTATTATTATTATTATTAATATTATTCACTGACTAAAGATGTGTACAATAAACTCACATTAGATGATTCATGGTCTTCACATGCTTGCAACACTCGATAAGTTCAACCAAGTCTTCCTCGTCTGTGCCCTTTACTCTGGATAGACAAAGCCACTGTAGGTTCTTGGTGTGTTCTCTGATCAGAAGACCCAGTCCTCTCATCGTCTCTCTCGATACACTCCTCTTCTCTGATGGGAGTGATGACGGTGTTGTAAGGTTGATGTGTGTGAGCTGCTGTCCTCCGGTCCGACGAAGACAAGCCGTGATCTGAGGTATGTCTCTCTCTGCATCATCGATAGTGATATCGATATCTCCCAAGCCAGGAAGCGATGAGAGCAAACCTTCATAGCTTTGTGACGTCACACTCTCAGCTGATAGCTTTGTGACGGATGGAAGCTCAAGGGGAGATGGAGGGAAACTGAGAGAGGAGTCTGAGATGGTGAGATGGTTCAGTGAGGTGAAGGATCTGAGACAGAACCACAACTTTTCGGTCATCTCAATAGATAGCTGGCATTGCTTTATCTCAAGCCTAGTATTCTGCAATGAAATGCAAGCAGACAAACTAGTCACGTTTATATACATCGATTTAAATATTAAGAATAAACGTGTGGACAAATAGAATTCCATGTCAGTGAAGCTAAACATACAAGTCTTACATTCATATTCCGAGAATTATTTGAGTTCTTTAAATAACAAGAAATGCAACTGTTTTTTTAATACGAAATGCATGCACCCGTATAGCAAAAGTCACTCACCTGGACGGTGTTCTTTTTGTTTAGAGAACCATCTCCACTCCTACAAAAAATATTTGAAAAGGAATGGGGAAAGAATGTGATTCAAGGAAACGATATTAAAGAGGTGAATGAAAGCAGCATTACTAACAATAACACTAATGATAATGACCATATTATAATAAAGTGGTAATAATAATCACAAATATAATCATGATAATTATATTAATAATAATGAAAAAATCCATTAAATACAATTATACCATTTAAATTCATTATTTGGTGTTCATGCCTTCTTAAAATTAAGGAGCGACATAAACACAAACATCTGTAGTGACCAAAGTTCGCGGAGATTTTTTCAAAATATTAGATACTGTGATATTCGATCCATGATTTCTCATATTCTACACAAATTTATTTATTTCAACTATAGTTTTTCCCGGCCAATTTCGTCAAAGCAGCGATCAATTTCACTAACGTGCATTCATGTTCGAGCAAATTGTATCCACTTGTTGCTCCCCTGTTTCATTTTTAAACTTTTTGCATTCAATTTTGTTTCGAGTCACCGAATTTTCGAAACAAGCACATTAAAATTAACGTTTGGTTCAGTCAATTTGGAAATGCGTTAGCGTCATTCAATTTCGCCAAAGTTGAGTGGGAGGACAATCTTTGGCGAATTGCGGTTTCATTTTCGTCTGTGGGCAACCTCTTTCGCAATCGGGTCATTCAAATTAAAACTAGACCTCATAATGGATGAGGCTCGATGTTTATTCGGATATTCACTTTTTCATGTTCATTATTATTCTTTTTCTCTATGATCTTTTCTGACATGATTTCACATTATACAATCTTCTTATTTGTCTGATATATTTATTTGCATTCAATATTTTCTCTTTCTGTCGATCTTTATTTTTGATGAAACATTTCTTTATACAGTCATGTCTTCATATCTTTAATTATAAATGAGGTTATTTTTTATTTTATTTTTTTATCAATCTGGATTGGGTAGGTAATCTTTCTTTCTTTTCATTTCATTTTACATCTTTTTCTTTGTTCATCATTGTATTTTGTTTTCATCACGTCCATGTCTAAAGCTCAACTCTAGCTGTCTAGGATATGTGTATAATTATATAGCTTGTTCTTAGAAGAGAAGTCACACATTGTGCACCTTCTCTGGGGACAGTTACCTGTGTAAAAGATATCTGCTAACGAATACGCATAATCATTCCTATACGAGTAAACTTAGCATTAAATTATTCAAACAGAAGTATATTAAGTGACAAATTAACATCAAATAAAAAGCAATGCACAAATGTCACATATGGATGCCTAATCACGAAATTGAATGCTCGAATACGGCCGCTCGAATACATACCACCGTCTGTCCTGCACGAATTTGAATGCTCTTTGCATGCTTTTCTAAATTGAATGCTCGTTTTGCACGTCTCCGTGACAAGAGTATGAAATCGCATGCTACTAAATCAAATTGAACGCCGCAATTAGCTTTTTGAATGTTGATCTACATAGTCATTCAATTTCGCACGAACTTGAATGAACGTAACGTTAATTCGGATGCTAAGTTTACGAAGTTGGGCGGGAAAACCTATATTAGCAAAGTTTTTAACTACTAATTGGTTTAACTACAACAAAATTATCGTCAAAGGATTCCGGAGATATCGCGATCTAAAGTTCGATGTCGGATTGGCGTGCGCGCTATATAGGCCTACTACAACTCACGAAAAAGTCATAAAAACCACGAGACCTTAATACTTCGTGCGCGTGCACGGAGGTTTACATCTGATTTATCGAAAAATTCAATCGATCAAATGTAAGATAATTGGATATTTTGCAAGGAAAAATATCATACAATCACTTACTACCAGGGGCGGCGATGTTTAGGGGGAGAGCGCCCCCCCCCCCGGAAAATTGGAAAAAGTGCACACACACAAAAGTAGCAAATAGGCCCCCTAGGCCTAATTACTATTAGACTGCAACACTTTTTCTTTGTTAGGCCCTGGAGGGCCCAATAGTGCAGCGTTTAGACTAATAGAAATGCAAAAATCTTCTCGCTCGGTCGCTAGCTACGCTCCCTCGCATAATGTCCTTCCGAATTTACAAGTAAATATTGTAGAACATCTGTATTTCGTTGGTATCACGTAATCACAGTTTACACTGTATGTTTACAAGATTAAGTTTTGTTGAAGTTTTGTTTGGATTAAAACATTAGGCCTACATTTTTTAGCAAAACTATATAGACTAGGTCTAGATCTAGTCACTTCCGTCACCTTCGCCCCTCTCGGCGTTCACTAACGTTAGATCTATGCTCCCTTGTCCCTCGCACTTTGTCGCCCCGGTCATGAAAATAAATCGCCGCCCCTGGTTGGTACCACTTTTTTTTATTTAATACAATTTTGATGACATTTGCTCTCAAAATAAAGATTTAGGCTACAAACCCTTGTCGGCAAGTTCATATTTTTTTCGGAACGGACGCAAAAGACTGCAAAATTTGCCGATCTTATGTCAATATTTTGCTTAGGCCTGGGCTTAGTCTATTTAGATCTAGATCTAGGTCTAGAGTCTTTAACCTCCAATTCCATTACAAAAAAAAAAATCGTCTCCCGGTAATTTTAGGTTTCTCTTTCCATTACAGGCATAGACTCTAAGTGATATCAGACTTTCGAAATCTTACCGATTTGTTGAGATAGCGAACTATGGTCACACAACCATACGTGATACAGATCTAGGTCTATATCTAGATCTACCTAGTATAATCTAGACCTAGATCTAGACCTAGTAAATCTAGTATAATATGGTAGGCCTAGTAGGCCTAACGTTAGACCTATACCCTATGGTCTAGACAGGCTCTAGACTACCTACCCCGAATTCAAGTACGTTAGTTGTTTAGTCTTGACAAACAGGTCCACCAAGGCTTCTTCGTCTCTGTCCCTCACACCGGACACATGCAGCCGCTGTTGGTTTTCGGTTTGGTCTTCAAATAGAAGACTAAGCCCTCCAATTGACTCTCCTGATTCAATCTTCCTGTCTGCGGTGAGTGCTGGCAAGGCGTGTAGTCTGATATGAACAAAGAACTGTTCATCCATGTTGATAGCCCTAGTCTGATTCTTAGGCCTGGATGCGGTGGTGATCTGAAAAGTGTTGCTCGTCTCTGCAACATCGATAGAGACATCGATATCTCTCATTCCAGGTATCGATGAGAGCACTTCTTCGTAGGATTGTGACGTCACTCTCTCGGCTGATAGATGTGTGAATGATCGAAGCTCTGGAGGAGATGGAGGGAAACTGAGAGAGGAGTCTGAGATGATGAGAGTATCGAACATCAAAAAGTCTTTGAGGCAGGACCATAGTCCACTCGTCACGTCGGTTGTTAGAGTAGACCCCTCAAGCTTTACTGTCCTAACCTGGTGTTCAGACAGAGAGAGAGGGAGATAGAGAGAGGCGGGGGGGGGGGGGTTGCGGTGAAGAGAAAGAGAAATAGAGACAAATAGTCAGAACATTGATAAGTTGATGAAGATATATATTTCATCTCTAGTTCATACACCCCGCCTTTTCGCGGGGGAGGGGGGGGGGTAGAAGTCCAAAGATCACGTCATCTTCGGCTTGCAGCAGGAAGGGGAGGGGGAGTCGCGGTGAAGGAGGATATTTACAATGAAATCGGCTAGATTCTGAGCTATCTAATGTCTTGTTTTTATTATCATTAAGTCATTATCATTATATCAGAAGTTATAGATGTATTTTATTCCATGTTAACTCTAGAGATCCTTTGTTTTACATAGGCTACTTGCTTTTATTGGCTGAATATCATCATTTTCCTTATAAGAATAGGCCCTACACTCTTATTCCTGCCGAGTCAAAAATGTGACTCCAGATCCGAGTCAGTGTTTTTTCACTCCATTTGGTGTGATTCTGACTCGAAACTGGGTTAGATATAGGGTAGACCCTACCGCCATTCTGAGTCTTCGGCACACGGTACCGCCAAATTGACTCCGCACCGAGTACCTGATATATCCGCAATGTAAATAGTCAATAGAAGTCACGTATCCCATGACGTATCGGCGTCCTAATCTTGTGCGCGCCCGCGAATATCGAATTTATACTTTTTCTCAGCTGAGCGAGCGCGAGCTAGCTATAGCTAGCTGCGCTGCACGCACTAGTACCGGTACTGTACCCGTATAGCGCGCTGGTATGATCGACGCGGTATGGTATACGGTACATTTTTACAATGGACAAATTTGTTTGCAATTTGTTGGAGGAATGTGGACTGGAGGAGTTCAAGGACGCTTTCTTAGGTGAGTATCATACCTTAAACCCCCATGTCTATTATGATCTAGTTGAACTAGACCTACCGTATACTATAAGGGCAAATTGTCTGCCGTAGGCCTAGACCTACTGTAACTTTGTCGTTTGTTTGACATTGTTGGCCGTCTACGCTAGATGTGAACTTAGCCCTAACACCGTAGGCCTAACACTTACTGAGCTGAGTATAGTCTCGGATCGATTTGTGCAAACTTAAAGGCCCGAATTCACAAAGGAAGTTTGTCGATGAACCAATTTTGGAAGAGCCCCGTGGACAAAAATTTATTTTGAGCCCTGATCATATGTATTTGAAGTCCTCTTTCACCTCTAACACTGTCCCATCCATAGACTCTAGATCTACTCTAGTAGATTCTATAGAAGTCTATCTAAGTTAGATATTTATAGGCCCTATACATTATCGTTCTCTCTAACCTGTCTTGTAGCTGTCCATGAAGATATTATTTGTATTTTGCTTAATAATAATAGATGATGAAGTGACAACAGCTGCTCTGCTGGCACTCCCTTTCATTTTGCCATTGGGAACCAGAAAGACGGGCAAAGGCAGGACCACACGGGCTGTCCTTGATGATGCAAGGCGAGCTTTCATTGATTTGAAACCAGGCAGTAAGTACAATTGTTTTATCCTCTACAACTAGATCTAGACCTATACAGTGAGAGTCAGAAAAATGTCCCACTTTTTATATTGAGTATTGTTTAAAAATGTGAGATAAACATACAGAGCTGCCAACCAGTACGATTTAATCATATTTAGATCTAGTACGATAATAAGACTAAAGAGTGGAATACGATAATACGATATCACCTCTTAAAATACGATTTTTGAAAAAAAAAAAAAAATACCCATAAAACCACGGAATCGCATTAAAACATGACAAGTAAACCCCCGCAGCCCCAACAAAAAATTTGCTTTACAATTTTCTTTTAAATTTTAATGAAAGAGCAAACATTTTACTTGACTGTACGTACCAGTATCACATTTTTTTGAAATTTTACTGGCCTGGGGCCAACCGGCCATTGGTAGTGTCAAGTTTTCGTGAAAATCTGATTTTTCTCTCCAAAATCTGATTTTTTAGGATACTCAGTCTGTTTTTTGGTGTCAAGAGGTTGGCATCTCTGAATATAGTGTTTTTTTTAGAATGTACTATGGATAAAGCAGCCATTAACTCCTTTGTTGTTTGGTAATTTTTTTCTTCAATTTTGCTGTTAAGTTGAGCGCACACCAGCCATTGTTTGAAAAGAGTCAAAACCCATTCGCGCCCAGTCATATGATTACATGCTGAAACTGATTTGGAACAACTCAATTATCATATTACAAAAGGCTTTCTTGCTCATTGTGCAGTGAATCCAAATCAGGGAAAGCATAGTTGATGTTGGCGCAAATGGGTTTTCACCCAGACACATTAATTAACTCCTATCCAGTACTGCTTTTGGTGCCTTGTCTTTGTGGATTGAGATTGCCCTCAGCCAACTGTGAATCTTTCATTTGGTATACATTTCATGAATGTTGAATATATCAAATTCAAACTTTAGCTTAGAAGGAGTAGTCTTTTCATACATGTATACACTCATAGATTGTCACAATTGAGCCAATTCTACTTGGTATCCTATGCTCTATTCTATCAATTCTGTCAGTGAATGGCTATCATGTTATGAAGAATTATTAAGAACATCGATTCTGAAAATATATTTTTGACTCTTAACCTTTGCCAAAGTTTTTTGAAAATCATTCTGGCAGAAAGATAGATATATGCATATGTTGGCCTGGTGTAACCGTTGCATTGCCAACTTCATTTTGTTATTCTTTTGGGGTTTTTTTTAAATTTAATAAATCCAAGTATTTCTAATTGTCAGGGATGCCAGTTTTCAGGCAAAAGCCTGAATTCAGACCCTGGCGATTTATTTTCAGACCATAGTTTATGTTTGTTTGTGTATAAAATAGCTCATTCTAGGTGATTATCAGGCCATCTGATCAATTCTAACTGGCATCCTTGAATTGTGCATCACCGTTACCTTGGAATTTCTAAAGCAGGAATTATTGCGATTCTGACTTACTGATTGGAGGTAGCAACAGGGGGGAAGACTCGTCAGAGGTATGTACATGTAATGAGGATATTTTTTTGGGATTATAATTAATTAAGGCATACCATTTGAAATAGACGTTTGATTGCATATAATGCAGCTGCTATTAAATTAATGTGAATGTTTCTTTGCTTTGTTTTTCTTTTGTAAAGGTGGGCACCAACATTCCACACTACCTAGAAAATCTACAGCAGAATCAGCCATTTGCCCTTATGTTTGGTAGTGGGGCCACATGTGAGCAGTCCTTCGTTGTGTTTGAAAGACAGGCTGCACAGTGTAAATCTGTCTTGCACGCAGTTGAGATGGTGGTAAAGGCAACGTACGTCCTTTGGTGTGACTTTCCATGGGAGCTGTCTCATGTATTTCAATTCCTTGTTGAGACAGTCTACAAGATTGATACAGGGAAGCCTCCATCAGCTGCGAGCAGGACAATGCGAGCTTTTCTATTAAATAGTGAGCATTGAAAGGTTTAGGATTAACCGGGGACTGTAGCCCTTTTGTAAATCATACTTTTAACTATGTGAAATATCACTTTGACAGGAAAGGAAATGTTATTTTAGAGCTATCCTAAAAATTATATGCAATTCTGGTCCCCTTTTCTTGACTTTTAGAGCAAAAATAATAATAAATGTTACGGCAGGATTATATCAGTTTAATCATCTTGACAAGCCCCACTGCACTACTTGTAGCTACTTGCTCCCTCTATATAGAAAACAATGCCTAAGCGGTGCATGTTGATCCCCATGATCCTCTTTGTCTTATGTTAATTGAGAGCTGAGTTGATGAGATAACCACCTGTCAGTGACCATGCTGGGAGGTCTAATCCCTCCTGGCCAAACTAGTGCAGAGGGACTTAAAGATAAAGCCTTGGGGGATGCATTGTTTTACACTGCCGAATGATGCAAGGGTATGCATATTATTATTACTTTATTACTGAGATGTATGAATAATTACTTGGAAGACTAATTACAGCAAAATTGTATCTGTATTACTTTCATGGGTCCTACTTATTTTAGCCTACTGCGTTATTATTCAAGTTTAGGATTGCATAATTTCAAAAGAAAGTGTAGGAAATTTCCCCTAACAACAGTGCAAAAATGAAGAAAATCGGATACAAATTAGTAGTTCTGACATTTTGAAAATTCACATTTTTTCCTCAAACCTTTCTTAGGTAATACAAAGTCTTGGGAAATTTAGAAAATTGGCTGGATAGTGATTCTTTACAATTTTGATATCTTTGGATGCCCATTTGGGTGTATTATAAGCACTAGAAAATTTAACCCTTGAAACACTTCTGCTTTAATTCGAATAAAATTGAATATCAAAATTTACTGGTGCTCCCGGTAAATTTTGATAATATTTCAAATAGCGCTTACGGCCATACAATTGTAGCTGCGACCATGAAAATCTCAGAATATGTAGTTGTGATATATAATTTTCAAACGTAAATAGCCATTTGGTCGATTTTAGTCAAGAAACATTGTTTTATGGCTTAATTATAATCTTTACCTTGAGAGGGAGCTACATGTATACAACATGAAGAGTTTATTCTTTACAATTTCATAAATTTAGATTCAATTTCAACCGGGACAACGATCACTGAATATTGTAGGATCGCATATGCTTCCAATATGTTCATTTGAACCAAATTCATGACCCCATACCAAAACTTTATATTACCTTTAACCAATGAACAATAAAATAGGCAACTTGATGTCGATGTCATCGCCTCACAATTGTCCATAATGTAAATGCAATTTTACTAATTTTCATGTTAATGCTCAGCGTATTATCAACCATATCAATACATATCAGAGTAACAATTATTTTTAATTATTTAGGTTGTTATATAGGGAGTTTGACATTCTCGTAGCTGAAATATGAGATCCTAAATTTGATCCTACTCCAATGTAATCCAAATTACATACAAAGTATGATATGTATGGGGTCTCCTATACATTTTGACATTTTCCATTTATTTATTGCCGATATGCAATCAATATTTACATCACATTTATAGATGTAAATGTTCCTACTCCAATGTAATCCAAATTACATACAAAGTATGACATGTATGGGGTCTCCTATATAATTTGAAATTTTCAATTTATTTATTGCCTATATGCAATCAATAATATGTGGTATTGCATGAAAATATAGATGTAAATGTTCCTACTCCAATGAAATCCAAATTACATACAAAGTATGACATGTATGGGGTCTCCTATATATTTTGACATTTTCAATTTATTTATTGCTAATATGCAATCAATAATATGTGGTATTGCATGTAAATATAGATGTAAATGTTCCTACTCCAATGTAATCCAAATTACATACAAAGTATGACATGTATGGGGTCTCCTATATATTTTGAAATTTTCAATTTATTTATTGCCTATATGCAATCAATAATATGTGGTATTGCATGTAAATAAAGATGTAAATGTTCCTACTCCAATGTAATCCATGTTAAATTTGTACTTGTGCATGCACATCGTGAATGCATTGCAGACACACTTACACTAATTTTGTAAATAAATTCAAGTTGTTATACTTCATTGAAATATGCTGGATGTATCCGTGCAATATTCATTTCGTTTTTAAAGTTCAAAATATGTTTTATGAATCTGGAGAAAGGTGAAGCAACCAGGGGGTGGGGAAGGGGGCAATTAATAAGAAATATTGATACTTAATGTGCTCCAAACCAATTGCATTGTCCATTGCCTCCTCTTGCAATCCTGGTTCCGTCGCTTTTAGAGTGTATTAGTCATTCTCAGAAAATGTACCACATAAGAAATGTCGAAAATTGAAGTTGATAAAATTACTATAGTTTGTCACATTTTCAGAAATAGATCTAATTGCAATAGATGAAATATTTCAAACGGGACATGAAATGTCTGAGTTATTTTAAAAATATGTGCTCACTGTACACACTGTGCTACGGATATTTTGCAAAATGTTTTGAATATCTTTAAAACGGAAAATGGTATCAAAATGCTTCTTCTGATGAGGAAGATGAGTAATGGCTGGTTGTCATACAAAATTAAAACTTTCAAGCACAAGCTCGTTCTAAGCATGGCACAATTTTTTTTTTTGGATTTTAAACCTACATTATTGCATATTTTATATCGGAGATATGGCAGCTAAAATAATCTCGAACCATCTGCTTGTAAGCTACATATCAAATGCGCTAAATCCACTTTTAGTCATTTCGAGTAAATCACTTGAACTTTTTTGTTTGACCACTTTCGCTTCTTCCACTGATGAAATCCTGATGTGATCCATTTTTTTTATGTTCCTGAATGAATTTTGCCAACTTATATAGCCCTTTAATTGGATGCACATGTGGAGAGACCTACTCCTCGTGTAAAAAGCTCGATATCGATGAAAAATGGATTTAGCGCATTTTGAAATTAAGCTTTTTCATATGTGAGACAAAGATTTTTGAAAATTGTGAAATTTGTTTTTGTTTTTGAGAATGACTGATTAGTGAGTTTATGGGTGATTCGAATTATGTGACTTGATGGCAAATAACACAAAATCAGAGTCACTACAACATCAACATGGGTTACTTTTAAATATGGGAAAGGACACCATATCAGAGCCAAAATTATATATCCTGATTCGGAAATCCGTGTTATTTCACACTGACAGAATAGATGGCTCCGAACTGACGCCATTTCCTATTCAAATTTGACACTTTCCGAGTTCAATTGACGCCAAGAAATGACTCGGAACGTGACTCGGAATCCGAGTAAGATATTTGACTCGGAAATCGGAGTCGTGTTGACTCGGATGGAGTTGACTCCCAGCTGGCGCCAAATCCGAGTCAAATTTGACACTTTCAGAGTTAGTTTTTGACGCCGTAGAAATAAGAGTGTAGGATTATTTGTTTAGAATGCAGTACCCTGATCAAGGCCATAATTGGGCAAAGATGGAAAAATTAGGATAATGAATCATACGTCTTGATGATTTTATCTTGCATTAATATAAATACGCCGTCAATTTTAATCAATAATCTATTAAAATAATCTTACCCATTTGACTTATAGTTATAGCGGAGGGATAGAAACTTAATCAATCTTTATAAAATTATTTATATTGTAAACATATTTTGTGAAATGAAAATGTGCATACCTTGTGTTTTAGTTCCATTGGAAGATTTTGCATCCCAACGACGGTGTAGACAGTTGGTGACTTAAGAACATTTCTCTGTGCAGTTACACATCGTTGAACCAATGAAGACACGTTTCCTCCAGTACTCTTGGTCTCTGATGAACAGTCAAGAAGAATGCGATATCGCTCGCTCTCATCCAAAAAGCGGTTGGAAAGGAGCGCCTCCATTATTCGTATGCAAAGGCCGTTATCTGTGCCAGCAGCGAATCGGATGAGATTCTCATAGTCACCGATGTTTGCCTTGATATTGTGCAGTAGTCTGTCCAACTTAGAAATCTTCAGTCGTAACATATATTTCTTCGTTTTAGCAGCGAGGTATTTCCCAGCCGAGTGCTCCTGAACGAGTTTGTGATAAAACTCAATGGTCGTGGATGTAGTCTTGTGGGATCGTGGGAGCCTTGTCGTTGCAATCGTCATGTTGGATAATATCCCAAGCTCACATGCCCTATCAAGGATAGCGGGAACTCTTCGGAAATCATGGGGCGTAAAAACTATTTTTTTAGAGTCATCGATCAGACCAGCTAGAGCAACCTTACCCAGTTTAAGAATGATTTTGATTAGTTCTTCTTCTGTTATGTTGTCTGTTGATGTTGCTCGGGCATTGGCATGGTGCATCAGAAAATCATTCACGCTGTCTAATAATTCTGTTTGAGTTGCAATTTCAGTGTTTAAAAGCCCCTCGCTCCATAAGTGACACACCATGAGACAAAATAGAGGTGTTTTAGCAAGTTCATTAATAAGTGGTTGCTTATCAAGGTAAACCTTCAGACCATGTCCATTTGCACCACATGGATTCGAAGTCGAAGCAAAGAACTTGTCGATGTACTCTCGTGAGCTTCCTTGCGAGAATCCTTCGATCCACATCTTTGTGTACACCCTTGGAAGTTCCGCTTGATTGAAGAAGTTTTCTAGGTGAGGGCGTGTTGTTACAAGGACCCGACAGTCTGGAAATTCCTCCCAGCGGATGACACTTACAATATTGCTCTCTGAGCTTCGCTTTGAAGAAGTAATACCCGCATACTCATCTAGTCCATCTAGTATGATGTGACAGATTCCCTGATTCTTTCTGATGAAACTCTCCAGACCCTCTGGTGTGAGATCATCAACATCACTCAGCAGCTGGGATTTGATAGCTTCTCCGATCGATGTAAGCTGATTTGTGTTTCGGAATTTTACAACAAACAGAAGTGGCAGGTGTTCTAATGCTGACCCCCTTTCTCTGTGAACCCAGTCGTAAGCCATCTTAGCAACAGCCGTGGTCTTCCCTCGTCCAGCGGGGGCCGAAATGAGGATTCGAGCTGGCAGTCTGCCGTTTACTTTCGTTGAAAATATGTCAGCAACAGAACCCTGGAGTATTTCTTTCTTTTTCTTGTCTTTTCCGTGAGCGTCCTTCTGCACCATTGTGACAACCGTGTGCATATCTTCAAACTCAGCATAATCATTGTGATCCCACGGCTTCATTTGAATTTTGCACAATTGATTTATGTACCTACTCTCCAATTTTTCGCGACATTGCTGAACAGTCAAGGATTCCGAGATCTTCTCACTGTAGATATCTGAAACGATACAAAAATATTACACTAAATGTCTTATAAACACTCCCACGATTTATCAGCCCCTTTCCACTCCCACTCCGACGTAATTTAGGATTTGGTAATTTATTTTAAAATTCTCGTTGAAATTATTTGTTCCAAAGATTTGCCTCTCTCCAAAAAAGTAAAGGTCCGGACACAAACTTAACGCTGCTGTTTTTTTTTCTCGATTAGACCGTAGAACAGTCAGGAAAAAAGTCGTCTCCAAATCGATATTGAAATGTTAGAAAGTTGAAATTCTTATGTGTTCCTTTTTTTTAATCGAACCTCTATTTAAACAAAAGATAAAGAGACAGAGAGACACAGGATGAAGGAACATAACATAAAACAACCCCGTTCAATGCCATCGTCAAATTTGGTGCCAGTGCCCCCGCCTCGATTCCTGCACCCTTTCTATGCCACTTATAAATGGAATTTGCCTTAACCCTATATAGCCCGGGGGGGGGGGGGCTTCTTATTAAAAGCCCCCACCCCTTCTACATTTTTCACGATAATTTGTTAACAAATCTTGCGCTGAAATTTCAAGACTTTTTTCTTTCGAGTCTTGCGCATCTTGTGAAATAATTTTTTCGAAAATCGGACCTATCGTGACCTAAGTCACGTGACATTTTGTCTTTGTATGTCAGCCCGAAAATCGCCCTTTTTCGTGATTTGCCAGTGTACAAAACATATGGAAATATCTTTTTTTTTTCTCAAAAAAGAAATAAAACATTGGTTAAATGGTCGTGTTTATAGTTTAAGGTGCCTGTTTTGGGGGTCGAAATAGTTGAATTATAGTGATTAATGAAATAAAACAACAAAAACAATCAAATACATACGAAATTGTCAAAACAATAAATAACAAACCTGGCTCTTCCAAATGTTGTTGTAATATTAATTAAAATGGTCTAAAGAATATATATATTGTGAAAACGAATTTTAAATAATATGAAAAATATATGATTTATGGGTAAAGATGTGAATTTCATGACGTGACTGCATACATTACCATAAATATGCAAATGAGTGAATTTTTCAAAAAATTGAAATTACCATTGTAGTACCATTCTATACACTTCACTTGACCCATGCTTGCAAATTTTCGCGGCGAGATATTAGGAGGCCTTAGAAGCCCCCCTCCCCCCCCCCCCCTCCCCACCTCCCTCGGCTATGCAGTTTCAAAATAGCCCGGGCTATATAGGGTTAAAGTTTACGTTCTTAAAACAATTTACAGTTGAAAGAATTGGTTGTAAGTTGTAACACTCTAACACGGATATAGACCCACCTTGATAACTTGGTGTCCCCTTGAGGTGTTTATCACCAAGCATGACCAGCTTAGCGTCAATGAGAGCTTGTTTCAGTTTGACATGTTGGTCGCAAGGCACCACAGTCTGTCTCCAGTCAAACAACATCTCACGTGTTCCCTTACAAGTCACCCGTCCTTCTATCCTGTTGGTCTCTGTGTATCTATTGATTGCTGCGACCTTGAATCCGAGTGTTCGTCCTAAGGCCTGTGTCTGCTCACCCGTCTCGATGTCTTCAGCCAGCTTGAAGACAAGATCATCGACAATACCACCATGTGCCGCAATACCTATGGGGAAAATAAACAAAATTAAAATAAGAGTAAGAAACTCATCATAAACATAGCCTCTTTATAGTTAGACAGTAAATTTAGCAGGTCTGCAGTCACCATGGTAATGTAGCAAATATTTTTTTCTCAGCGGGTGCAGGGGTTGGGGCTTCGAAGTTGTTGAGTGTTTTTGTTGTGTTTAAGCAGAGAAGTAGGATCTTGACAATCGAAACAAAGGTAATTTTGAGAGAAAAAGATTACAAATTTAAAAAAAAATAATAATACAAAAATCCCAAAGAAAACAAGACATTTCATGAATTCGAAAACGGTCCGGGCAATGGCCAATAAACCTAATTGCTGCCTTTCACGTAATAATTATTTCATTTTTCGTGATGCATTGCCAGAGGCAGGGCTCCCAGAGGAGGGGGCGTACTGTATTTGTTCAAGTACCTTATAAATGCTGCTTCATACGAAGGACCCCTTTTAATTTTGACAAGTGACCCTCTCTCGGGTCCTTTTTTCCTTATCAATAGTGTTCCTATTGATATGTCAATCGCGATGAAAAGAGACGAAATTTTGTTTTCATCTTCCTCTCCCCACAACAAATTATTGATGATAGCCTTCGTCACATAATGTCCTCCTTATTTAAAGTAACTGAGAGGATATTTTTATCGAATTTCCCTATAGCCACCTTGCTATAAGATATCAAATGAGATGCATAATTCAACGCAACACATGACAAAATCATGATTTAAAACAATATTCAATGTTTTGGTCAATGCTTTCACTCATGGAAAACTAATGGCAATAGTGCTTTGAGAAATTGTGTGATATAACTGTGTTTGTTGGAGAGGGTCACTATACTAGCATCAGCATTCTGTTATTATTAAAAAGGAATTTCCAAAATCTTATAAAATCAAACCTTGGGTATCTTTCTCTGTGGCAAAAGATAAGAATAATAAATGGTGTTTTTTGCTCGGATGCGGCACTCGCTCCCCAAAATCGAAACTTAATTTTGGGGCAACAAGGTGCCAGAATATCTTTAAGGAATGAGGTTCGATTCTGATTATTTTCCTATCAAGTGTATTTTGATGGTTAAATAACATTCTTTAAAGAAGTGTTTTATCCTGTTCGCTTCGCTCGGTCATAACTTTTAGAAGGAAGATAATCCTTGCAGTAAGGTACCCTAATAATCTTTTTATATTAAACCCAGTATATATAACATGACGAAATTCAATACGAAGTGGCTCTTCTGACTTCTCACGAGCGAGCGAATTTTATTACAGGTTTTGGGCAAGAGGCGTCAGCCCCCATTTCCAAAATATGCCCGAACGCTAATGGTAGAAATTTTCAAAATGTGTTAGGTTGCTTTGGTCGCTTGTTGTTAGGTACAATTCTGGTCATTCTGACAACTTGAATTGTATACACGCGATCCTTGAATTTGACTTGCTTTATAAATTATAATTATTCGTTTTGCAACCGTACAGAAAGTTAGAGTATGCAACAAAAGTGTTAATCGTACAGTTCGACTTTTTTATATACTCTTATCCAGAAGAAAGTAAAAAGGAGCACACCAACGTAAATAGTAAATTATAATAAATATGGCGCCATAACATAATCATACCTGGGCTAGTCTGCACTGGAGTCTTCTTGTGCTCATGTGAGTCGTGCTGGTTAGGTAGATATTTACCTGCAAGAGATTCACAATGTATTCTTTAATTTCTGCTACCATAGGCTGGAACACTCTAGCAATAAGAATTAGTTTATATTAGGGTCCAATTATACAATGAAGGAGACAAGCAACTCAAATGAATAATGATTGTTAAGTAAGATGATAATCACTTTAAAAGAAAGGGTAGTTTATATTGATTTTAGTTTTATAACCCTAATCACACTGGTTGCCGCCATAATATGTACCACTAGTGGGACATGACCTGTTCAAAGCCATTTATTTAAGCCCAGTGGTAATTAAAGCATCAAAACTAATTATAAGCAAACCCATGATTTCCAAATTAAATGCTGCACGAGTTTAACTCACGTACATAACAGTGAAACCAGTAGTAATAGAAGTGTAGAGGTTGTAGTAGTAGCAGTATGTTTAGTGGTACTACTACTAGTAGTAGGCGTACTAGCTGGAGTTGAAGTAGTAGTAGTTGTATAGTAGTAGTAGTAGTACTACTATTAGTAGTAGTAGTAGTAGTAGTAGTAGTAGTATAACTAGTAGAGTATATTTAGTAGTAGAGTTAGCAGTAATATAGTAGTAGTGGTATATTTGTTGTAGTTTCAATTGCAGTAGAAGTGGTAGAATAGTTTTAGTAGTAGTAGTAGTAGTAGTAGTAGTAGAACTATTATAGTTGTAGTGGTAGTAGTAGTAGTGGTAGTAGTATTGGTATTACTAGTATAGTAGCTATGGTAGTAGTACTATTAATAGTAGTAGTAGAAGAAGTAGATTAGTAGTAGTAGAAGTAGTAATAGTAGTAGTAGTAGTAATAGTAGTAGTAGTAGTAGTAGTAGTAGTAGTAGTAGTAGTAGTAGTAGTAGTAGTAGTAGTATTAGAGTAGTAGTAACAATCAGGCGTGGTAATAATAGTAAGAATGGCAGCCTTTTTATATGGTCATTATTAATGTATCTATAAAATAATGTTTCGGAATGATGTAGCATGTCAACATAATAATTTCCCCGACTTATGCGGCTAGGGGCCGACAATCCATGAAGAGTTTAGGGAGTTTTCTCACTCGATATTTGGGCTCGATTTGTTGTCTATGGGATGCATTATGTTACTCGTAAACTATACGCACCATGCTTTTAATGGTGTATTATTGAAAATCACGTGTAAAAGACGTTCACTTTGAAAACATGTGAGCAAGATAATCAACAACTTGATTCAATGCATGAAACTTTTCCCGATTCATTTTTCCTCTCATAATAATATTGGCAGTATTATAGGACCTTTATATATATATATATATATATATATATATATATATATATATATATATATATAAACATGTATTTCTATGAGCCCAGTGTAATTCAAATAAGTTTTTACCTTCTGATAGTCTATCACCTAAATCACGAAGTCGTAATTCATGGAGTTTGCTTGCTAGTATGGATCGAGTCTGGGTGCTGTCTGCTTGATTGTTATTCCATTTGATGAGGAGCTCCACCAGAGCTTCATTGACGTTGTTCAGATGTTTGACGATGTGTGATTGACTAACTGCATAGGTATACCCCAGGGCGTTGCACAGTTTTGAGTATTTGCCCGGACCTATGTCTTCAGCTAGTGATATCAGCTCGATTTCCTGCAAAGGCTCCATAATGCTGTGGAAAATAAATGATATAGACAGAATACATTATGTAGTATCAACTCCATTTCCTGTGAAGTACATAATAATGGTATACAGGCAATACATAATCTTTTCTTTCTAGAGCAAAGATTTATGTCACTTGATCCAAGTATTGGTATCTTGAAACAAGAAAGGTGCTTTTATTATTCAAATTACCGCAGCAAATCTTATCACATTTTGAAAATTTCTTTGCAAAGTTAATATACAAAAATAATCTTGACCAGAAATTGAAATTGAAATTACAAGTAAAAAATATTGTCTTTATCATGTTAGGAGCATCCGTCGACCACATCAGTTCCTTGCGTGTATCAAACGCTTATGATTTTATAGCGGATTATAGTCATCTATTCATTCTATTATTCTCCTTCTTTGCTCACTGTTTTGTGAATAATTTATTTGTGTTAAAAAAAGGAAATTAAGTTTTGTATTTGTATGAAATTATTTACATTGATTCTTTATGTAATGATTTATTTTGAATGACATCTCATATTGAAAAAATATGGAAAAGAAGAAAAAGTGTGTATGTGTGTATGTGTGTGTGTGTGTGTGTGTGTGTGGTTAGTGGGGGAGGGGGAGGGGGCCACCATGCTTCAAGTATAGTTAAGTATAGTCAATATACAATTCTGAGCATTTACACACAAATGGGATCTTTCTATATAGATAAATACCTGCTTGAGAGTCCTCGAACACGCTCTCTTATAGGGGATTGATCATTTACTGCCTGTGCATCAAGATTGTGGAATGGTCTTTCCCAAATCCTTCGCTCTTGTCACCAGTTATCTACTTTCAGAACTCAACTAAAGACATACCTATTTCAGATTGTTTACAATTAGTCACTGCTTTTTTGTCTTTCTCGGTTAGAATCATGAACAGGCAGTTTTGGTATTTTTTTCAGTCTCATCAGCGCCTTTGATGAGGCAACTAGATATTGGCGCTATACAAATACCTGGATTGGATTGGATTGGATATGATATACTAATGTCAGTAAACAACTCAACATTAACTGTACAAAAAAAATTCTGCCAAAAGGCGCTAAATCCGTTAGCTCTTCCACCTGTAGTATAGATTTGATAAATAAACAGAGACAAATGTGTGCAATTAAAAAACACTGATTTTCTCGAAATTAACCGGGGTGGATTTAGCGCCTTTTTGTTGCAAGCTCTTCATATGTGTGTATACGAGAAAGAGATTTAGTTGTAGTGAGTTGGAGATAGAGAAGATTGATTCAGGGGAGGGGAGAACAAAATTGTGTATGTGTTGTGTGAGCGGATGAGGTATAGATTATGCGAGTGCGTGTTATGTGTTGTGTTTATGAGAGAGAGGAAATGTATACTTATATCGTGTACGTTTATTTTAATACATGCTCCATTCGCAGGCAAAAATGTTTTTAGAATTACTAGATCCTTGGCTATGGAGTAATTTTTCAAATCGTTCTCAGAATGTTATATTCAGACTAACATTATGTCCCTCAACATGTAATAACATACAGATGTGTACATAATGAGTCTTTATTTACGCCAGAAACGCATATGTGTGTGTTTGTGTGTTTGTGGTTATGCGCGGATTGGAAAGGGGCAAACGAAGTTATCTACAAAATTCTGATTATTTAGTCAAAACTAACGAAGGCGGTTATATTTAGACCATGGTCTACATTCCTTTATAAATCTTTATAGTGGACCAAACAAATCGTAAATGAGTAAATTAACGAATATTACTACCACCTATAAAATTCTAAAAGGTATATACAATGTAGTAGACCAGACAAAAAGTGATTTTGTGTTGTTGGGCATTATTGGGTGATGTACAGCAACCACACCTATCTTATTCTTCAGTATTTCTGCACGAGTTTTAGCATGGATGCCATGGAATCTTTTTCTAGAGTCTTTTGTTGTGTGTTTGGCTGGTCTACTATTAAACTATGGATCAATACAAATCCCCTTTGTGAATTGCCGGCGAATAGATGTAAATATGAAAGCGTACAATCATTCATAGAATGTGTACATAAAGTGGCCGGAAAGGGCCCCTCTATATACCCCCTCCTTCTCCCTGTGTATTATACCCTCTGCAATGCAGACCGTTATCGTAACACTTTGGTTGGTTTATTTTCCTCTCTACAAGGTCGCTCGTTTACCACACGTGGACATTTGCACAAAGCAATAGGCACCAAATGGTTCAAAGTTATTAGTGAAATAACATGAGATTTTGATAATTTGTATAAGACAGACGGGGTCTAAACGATTTAAGAAATTGTTAAGAATCAGGGGCTTATAAGGAAAAGGGTCGAATATGCAATGGAATCACTCCGTGACAGGTACCAATAAATTAGCAAGGAATTTGATGTAAACAAAAGGTCAGATCAATACCGGACGACTATATACCAAACAGAGAGTTCCAGAGTTTTCACTCCTCGATCGGAGTCGCGGTCCACGTCCTGGGGGGTGTTTCACAAAGATCCTAAGTAGAACTTAACACTAAGTTGGACTTAAACATTATGGACAGCCATTGGAGCCTTAAAATGAAATATATTCAAAAGCAGAAATTCAACTATTTTAGACTTTTTATAAACTCCACATCCAGAACATGAAATCTCCTTGATGATAGAAAACATGAATGATTTGAATCAACACCTTATGCCTTTCAAAGTAACTTTTACAAAATATTTTCAAAGATGCTAACGGCTTTTCATAATTTTTAAGTCCAACTTAGAGATAAGTTCAACTTAGATCTTTGTGAAACACCCCCATGACTTATATTTGATTATGCACCAATGGCATAGTACCATTGATGCTCTGGAAAAGGTGAATCGCCTTTGAGATATTATCAGTTACAAACTCCACACACTCTTGCAAGCACCAAAGATTCTTTAAGCACATTGTGAAAAAAGGAAGGAGAAATTCATTAGAAAATTTCAAATGAGATATCTCCTTCACAACTGCCTTAAGACAAGCTGCTAATTGTTATTGTTGACATCCCTTTGTATATGTGATATTATTCTAGTTGTACACTGACCCCTTCAGTCGGTGCTGCTGGTCAGTTTTAATATACCAATAAATAAATGAATGAACTAATAAGTAAATAATTATCATCATCATTATTATTACTATTTGTAGGTAGTTCAGGTAAATACTTTACCGTAGTCTAATTCTATGAATCCTGAATACAAATAATTATTTTTCTAAAATATGAAACAGTAAATGAACTACTCACGTTCTGTGTATATCAGGCCTTTAAATGCAGATCAATGACGTCATTCGCTGCATTTAGTTTAGAGGAACGACGAGTTGTTTCGATGTAATAATAACGGAGGGAAAATGAACTATAAACTACTGATAATCATGTCTAACGATATAGTCCGTAATGGCAGTCCGTGTAGAAGTATCCCTGCTTAACACGGCGGTGCTTACGGCTCAAGTAGAACCAACTGGGAGGATGATGAGAATTATTTGAGCATGAGTCTCAAGAAACAATTCCTGTCTTTTGAAATTTGTTGATTGTCCGGATTCTTTTGCATTTTAATCATCTAGTGTGCTCAATAAGCCTGCTTGATATAATGATGAAAGTAAACTCGAAAAGTTCTCAAATTGTGATACTCAGCTCGAAAGAGACACTTGTTATAGCAGTCCAAGAGGAAGAAATAACATGCATCGTCAGCCAGTCCAACCGAACAGGATCAAGTCAATATTTGTGATGGGTTTCAGTTTTGCACGTGATGGTGATGTCATAAATATCGTAACCCAGACACTATGTGAGAGTATGTTAGTGTGTGTGTGTGTGTGTGTGGGGGGGGGGTGGTAATGTATGTTGACAGCCCTGGATAGGTAGACCCACGGACATTTGGTAGATCATTTCCCCTGGAACTTCAAACACTTTTTGACGCGGTGATGTTCCAGTTTAAGGAAAGCAGGCGAATTGAGAGAGATGGAATAAATGAGTCTGAGAATGAATAAAAGAAAGAAAGAGAGAGGCGAACATTATTGAGTGAGGGAGTGACTTTGCGTGTGAGAGAGATTAAATAAGTGAGAGAGAAAGAGAGAGAGAGAGAAATAGATTGATTGAGGAAGTAGAGAGAGAGAGAGAGAAGGGAAGAACAAATTAAACGGGTGTGTGTGTGTGTGTGCGTGCGTGTGCGTGCGTGTGTGTGTGTGTGTGTGTGTGTGTGTAGAGAGAGAGAGAGACAGAGAAAGAGAGAGTGATAGAGAGAAACGGAGAAAGAGAGAGAGAGGGATAGGAAGAGTGAAAGAGAAAACAGAGAAAAAGAATGATAGAGAGAACAGAGAAAGAGAGAGAGAGAGAGAGAGAGAGAGAAAGAGAGAGCGAGAGAAAGAGAGAGGAAAGGTTACGGCGTGGACAAGGTAAATCGTTGAACCCCAAGTCCAAAGACATAATTTGCTATTAATTTCCTTTCACTAATTTATGTACAAAGATGTATCACTGTAACAAACCTCGTCTGTTAAGAGAGAGGAGGCCGCTATCAAAAGCACTATCAGATACTGCATCGGGTTACAGCAGAATATGGGAAAGGGCGTTCAATCATTTAAGCCCTATATTTGGATCTTTGTAAAATCCTTTTAAAAAAGTTCTTACTTTCGTCATTTAATTCACTTTTTTTTTTCTTCAAATCACCCATTTTCCGTAATTACGTTAATTTTACGAAACAATACAAAAAGGTTTACTTTTGATTTGTTCGTTTTTTCTTCCTTTTGTTTTCTTCTGATTTTTTCTTCATGTTTTGAGATATAACGATAACGAAAGCGGGACGGACGGAGAGACGTACAAACGGACAACCCGAGAAAATATTGCCCTCGGTGCCACCTTCGGTGGGCGGAGGCATAACAAAACTCAAAAGCTTTCACCAAACTTGGCACGCTTGTGTACATGTAATGTAGTCTCATATACCACTATCGATGAGCAGTGCATGTGATCTTCAACGAGATGGATTCTAATTTCTTTTCTTCATTATTAAAAAACTTCACA